CTTAGTCTTTTATCTTGACATTTCCCAACGTCAGTGCCCTGGGTGCCCTGTAGATTGCCATTACGGTATTTGATGTGGCCTCCTGTTGTCAAGAATTAGGGTGGGGTTGGTGATCGTTTCTTCATTATTGTTTATGTTAATCAGTTTTCTGTGACTGTCACAGAATGCCCAAGACAAGCACCTTTTAAGGAAGAAGAGTTTATTTTGGCTCATGGTTTTAGACATTTCAGTCCATGGTCACTTGTTTGTGTTGCCTTTGGGCCTATGGCAGCAGAACCTGATGGTGGAAAGAGCGTGGTGGAGAAAACTGGAAGCCAGGAAGCGATGACAAGGAGAAAGGGCCACAGTCCCAATAGCATCTTCAGAAACATAACCTCAGGGACACAATATCCTCCTGGTAGGCCCCATAGTTTGAAGCGTCCACCGCTTCCCATAGTGCCACCTTTTGGGGGGAACCAAGGCTTTGAAACGTAGGCTTTTGGGGATATTTTATGTACATACTATAGCACTGATCATCTTTCTGATCACTGAGTGGGGCAAATGTTAAAAAAGAAAAAAAACAAAACAAAACAATTTTCCTCTGTTTGGACTGATGCTAGAGAAACAAGGTGTGTCTGTGGTCATCCTTGTAAGTGAGATTGAATAGAGGGTGGAATCCATTGACAAACTCTTACGTGAGCACTGCTGCATGCCTGATGTGTGCCTTGTTGGCCCCCTCAGATGTTATATTGTGATGTCATGTATCAGCTGCAGAGAGCCACAAGTCAGATGCTTTCAAGGTGTGGGGTTGAAAAGCTAAAGTGGTTTTTGCTTTGAATAATGAAAACTGTCTTCCTAGACAGTGAATTATGGAGGTAGAAAGGCTGAGCTCCATAGCAGCTGTCCAGCTTGTCTGAGCTTCTCAAACTTGAGAACTGCCTGGGGAAATTTATTACAACTTTCAATCGTGGGTCTAACCTCAGAGATTCAGTCAATTAGGAGCAGGGTTTATTAAGTAGCTATATTAAGAATGAGAGAGGCAGGTGATGGGGCCCAGTGGGTAAAGGCACTTGTGGTGTAAGCCTGTAGAGAGAATTGAGCATAGATAGGTGAAGATAAAGAAGATTCAACTCCATGAAGTTGTTTTCCGACCTCCACACATGTGCCGTGGCACACACACACCACCCTCATAATAATACTAAACAGTTAACTTAGGAAGGAGCAGGAACCAGCTTAATTCTGATTTAGGTTGATGATGAGTTAGACATAAGAGTTTGAGAAGGATGAGGAGGGTGGTGTATTGGTATTCGGGCTGAACTAATCAGAATTACAGGGTCACCTTTTCTGAGTAACACACACTTCTCTTCTGCTGTTCCTGCCGTTTCTGCCTTTATGCCTTGGTGACCCAGTTGTACTCACAAGACTATTATTTCTTTTTTTTTTGGGTGGGTGAAGCAGAATATTCAAGAATCAGATGACTTACATAAAACAAGTTAAGGCAGGGTCCAGATCAAGAGTACTTACAAAATGCTTCTAGGTCCCATTCGTGGACATTCATTAGGCATGGCCGTGGGTTACATAAAGACATTTTCATATGAATATATAATGTACTTTGAGCTTATTCTTGCCCCATACCCCTCCCCTGTTCTTCCCGTTAACCCCCTTATTCCCCTAGATAGTTTTGATTATACTTTACTATCATATGTACATACATGATTTTACAAGTCTGTATAATACCTAGGAGCCACAAATGAGGGAAAACATGAGACGTTAGTCTTCCTGAGACTGACTTAACTCACATAATATGATTATTTCCAGTTGTGTCTATTTTCCTGCAAATTAGCTTTGCTCTTTGTAGTTGAAAAGAACTCCATTCTGCATATTCAGCACGTTTTCTGAAGATGTTTTTACTTCATACTGGCTTTTCTGGGATGCAAAAACTCTGTAGAGAGGGCTTGGCCTCAGCTTTTCTGACCTTGTCGCACTCTGACAAGGCCTACAGCAGAGAATACGTATTTTCAGACCCTTCTCTAGAACCTGCCAGCTGTGCAGTCATGAACTTTAACCCATGCTTGGGTTTAACCGTCTGTGGAGCTCTTTGCTCATGAACAGCTGTGGGCTGTGTGGAGGGAGCAGAGCTGTTCTGTATGGGAGCATCCACCATAGTACGGCTGATGGGAAGGCAGGCAGGCTGACTTCTTAAGCTTCCCCGGCTCACAACTCATCATGAGGACCCGTGGACTTTGATGCAGCATGTCTCAGGAGCCTGCTGGCATTGATGCTGCTGGTCTGTGGGTCTCACTTTGATCAGCCAGGACCTAAGGGTTGTCCTACTGTGTAGGTTAGCTGTGAACTCTGAGTGCAGTCATCTTTGTTTACAAACGTATAGCTCTTTTTTCTAGTCCTAGAAACAGAAGAGAATCCTACGTCTTAACTCTGAGCCTGAAAATCAGAGATGAAAAAGTTTCAGTGTGCAACATATCTTCTCATAAGTTTCATAAGTTATTATTCTCTTCGATAGCATAAGGAATACAGAAAGAGAGGACAGAGCAAGGGACCATATGCTACATAGGCTGAGAGAGGATGACAAGGGCCAGGTTTCAGATGTTCTAAACTAAGGTGGCTCATAGGATCAGTAATGAAGTTTTCTAATGAATAAATGGGTTTAAAATGTGAACTAGCAAATATGTAATAGCTTTCATTCCTCCATGAAATCAACTATTAAGTTCAGGTCATCTGGAGAGGATCTTAAATCCACACTGCTAGTTTTACCCAGTGTTTAATTAAGCTGGGCCTGGAAAGCATCCAGGATTTGTACTTTTAACAAGCTGTCTCGCTCTGTGAGTGAGTTTCACTCTGTGAGTCTCACTCTGTGACTAGCTCATGCGTAGTCCCAGAGACCATCTCTGAGAGCAGTGAGCACAGAAACAGTGCCATTGGCTTGGACCACCTGCCTCCTTCTACAGTAATGTTGTCTGAGCTGGATGAATTTGGGGTGTGTCCTTAGCTATCTGAAAACCTACCCGAGGGTTAGGATTCCTGCGGGCTATGACCCCCACTGCCTGTAGACAGTGTCCCTACATGCTGGAGTTCTGTAAGCTTCCTTGGTAGCTGTGACCTGATGAGAACTTGTGAAGATTAAATGTCCAGGGCGCACTCTGGAAATCCTGATGAGACTTCAGTTCTGTTTGTAGGACAGTAAGGCTTTGGGATAACAATGAAGAATTGGTTCTTAATGGCCTTGCCACTGTAGGAATTGCTTGGAAGTGTTTTCCTCACTGATCTCAGTTGTCTGTAGGTTGCAGCTGCATTTTTAGGAGTGTTTCACTTCTGAGCTATGCTAGCTACTTTTCACATTGCTGTGACATTACTTGAGGGAAGCATCCTAAAAAGGAAGGATTGTATTTGGCTCATGGTGTGAGGGTAAACAATAGGTTGGCTTAAAAGTCAGTGTCCTTCTGCCTCTGAGGGCTGGCATTACAGGAGCATGCCACCATACCATGCCTTTCCTGAGCTTTGAGTTGCATTGATGAGTGCCTCTTCAATGTTGTCATGTAAAGTCATCCGACCTGTGAAAGCATCTGTTCTGTTGCCCCAGAGGAGCGCCTTGCTCCCCTCTGCAGCCTCCCTGTGTTCTTTGTACATATTGTGGCAGGGAAGGCATGGCGGTGGCTGGTCACATTGCACCTGCAGTCAGGAATCAGAGTGGTGAAGGCCAGTGCTCAACCTGCTTTTCCCTTTGTAATCTAGTCTAGGACTCCAGGGCAGAGAATGATGCCACCCACATTTAGGGTGGGTCTTCCATCTCAGTTAGTCCAATCTTGAAGCTTCAACAGAGGTGCCCAGGAATTTATCACTCAGGTAATTCGATTCTGTCAAATTTACAGTTAGATCACACTAACAGATGGCTCTCAGCCAAGAATTTACACACACACACACACACACACACACACACACACACACACACTATACACACAGACACAAAGAAAAAAAGGCCAGTCAAGAACACGTTTTTCATGGGGAGTAGGTGACCGGAGAGAAGTAAGAGGTAAGTAAGTAAGTAAGAAGTAAGATGTGTTAAGGGACAAAAGGGTGTCATTGGGGAGGGGCAGTACCAAATGGTGAAGCATTTTGAAAACTTGGCCCAAATACAAGGGATCCCTTGAAAGTAACATCTCTAGAAGAACGTGTTGGAGGAGCTGGCCTTTGTACTATGCAGTCAGTAATTTTTTAACTTCTCATCTGTACAGTTGTATTTTGCCTCAGTGATAAGCCTTGCTGTCCCCCTGACACAGAGCGTGCATAAGTCAGTTTTGAGCCAGACGCTGTGGATGCACACTTGTAATCTATAGCACTTAGGAGGCTACAGCTGAAGGATTGTGAATTTGAAGCTGGACTAGGCCATGTAGTGAGACTTAATTGAAGAAGAAGAGGAGGAGGAGGTGGAGGAGGAGAAGAGAAGCGAGAAAAATAGTCATCCTATATTCAGGAACACAGGCGATGGTAGTCATCTGGGACAGAGAAGCTGTTTGATGGTTGAGAATTAAGCTGTGGTCATTTTTGCCCCCTTGAAGCTAAGCACCAGTCTTTATCGACATGCTTCTGGGACCTTGAATTCACTGGTGTCACAATGATATAGGGATATAGGATATTAGACAGATATTTCTGAATTGTTTAAATTAGAATGGTAGAGAGAACCTTCCCCCCCTTCCCGAACAGAGGATTCTCAGATGATAATGATTTGTGAACTTATAAATATTTGCTTTCTAATTTCTGCTATTACTTTAGTTGTGGGGTTCTTTGCAAACCCTGGATTTTTGTTGTTGTTGTTAAATTTTTATGGTTTTTTTTTTTTTTCAGTAGACAAGTAACACATTGCCATCCCTGGTCTTTGAGAACACAGGGATGAAGGTCAGCAGGTCTTTAGGTGGTGTGTGGTAACCCAGAATCATCTGTGTTTGGTTTCTAAGGATGCCATGCACGGAGACACAGACACACTGACCTGTGTTCTGTCTTTGCAGTTCTGTACAGAGCTAAACCAGCCAATCCTGCCCAACATCCGCAAGTGGAAGGGGTCCCGAGGATGCTGGAGATCTGTTGTTGCTGAGAAGCCTTCAAGTCAGCTCCAGAAGGTACCTCTCTCTGTACAACTGCTCTGCATGGTCTTGTGTTTAACCATAATTTTCTTCCCAAATCGAGGGCAATTTAAAATTTTCTTTCTCCATATTCTTGGTCCAGTTTTGCATATCTGCCCTAACTTTTAATAATTTATAATGTCCTAAGCCTCACTTTATATTTTGATCAGGGATGAATTCCTGCCCAGATAGAAATGATAGCTTAGCATCTTGGGAGGAGGAATCCTGTCTGGGGCCAAGGCATCTCTGCATTTGCCTGAATGCCTGCCCTTTGTCCCTGTAATTCCAAGGTCATACTCCCCTACCATACTTTCCCATTATTCATTGGCTGAGTATTCACATCCACTGTAGTTCACACATGAAGCGTTGCTCTCTGTCTCTGTGTGTGTGTGTGTGTGTGTGTTTGTGTGTATAGAAGCTGCCATGAAGTATCTTCTTCCATTGCTCTCCACCTTTTATTTTTTTGATAAAGGGACTTCAGTGAACTAGAAGGTCACAGATTCAAATAAACTGAGCTAGTCAATGAGCTTCAGGGATCCACTGTCTCTTCTTCCCCAGTGCTGAGGTTATTGGCACAGGCCACTCTGCCCAGTTTTTTAATGTGAATTCTGGGTTCTGAACCCAGGTCCCTATGTTTGTGGTACTTTACTGACAGCCATCTTCCTGGGTTCTTACAGTTTTAGAAATATTTCTTGTAATTACTTGAGTTGAAAAAAAAACCAACATTGTTTTTATATAATTGTCACAGATGCAGCTGTTTTAAGGTTCTAATATGCCTTATCTGATTACAACATTATAAATTGTATTTGCATGATTGATATTTGTTATTTGATTGGATTAAGTTATCTATCTACTTATTAGTGTTCACTGTAAGCCCTCTGGTTTTCAGCAACTACTGAAAACTTTGCATTTAACTGCTTTCTCTGGGTTTGCCGTTTTAGAATGGATTTAGCTTTGCAAGTGGACAGTGAGTTCACAGTGGGCTAGTTCATGAGGGATGCATCTGGTTTTCAGAATTTCAGCTGAGGGCTCTCCTTGTCAGTCTGCACAATGAATAATGCCACTTTGCTTTTTCTGTTTGCTTTTACAAGCAGTTTTCATGGATATCGGTATGTAAAAAATCATGTGACTTTTAGAGTCCATTCACCTTTACTCGGTCATTTAACAAACCATCTGTGAGAGATTATTCATATGTATGTGAGAAAAACAGATCCAGAACCTAGCCCTGTCTGTGATCACTCTATAAAAACTGCTAGGTAGGCCAACGCCTTTCACTCAGTGTACAGCCATTTACAAGGGACAAGTCAGCTCACCCTACTTTACGAGGGAGAGCGACGGCCATCAGTACTTTACTGAGAGCTCTCTGCCTTACTTGTTTCATCTGCACCAAGGGAGCAGCAGCACCTTCCTCAGCATTCAGGATAGCCCCAGCATTCTGGTCTGTAATAGAGTACAGACCAGAGCTTGGTACACTGTGCCTCAGTGATAGTGACTTTGGACTGGGATCCCTGCCAGTATTAGACTGCAGCCATGTCTAGGCCTGGCCGCCTGTTATTATGTGCTCAGTGGGTCTTAGTCACCCAGATTAATGACATGTGAAATACAAAAATTACTTTTAAACCTAACTTGAGTCAAGCGGCATATATCCATGATAATGAACCTACAGTTTTTACACTGAACAGCTATTGGGACCCTGAGCCCTGGAGTCTTGTTCAGGTACCAACTGGAGGGACAGTTTATGAATGAGAAAGCAGAGAGAGATAGGAAGAAATGATTTTCCCTTGCTATTGGACCAGTGAGTTATCTCTGACATAAGGGGTGAGGAAGGTCCACAGAAGCTGGGGGGCATTGACCAGGTGTGGGGAGCAGCACTGGAAAGGAGTCATCTCGGGGCACACTGTCCTTTCATATGCTGGAGGACTGTGGGGCGAGGGTGGGTTTCAGGCCAATGAGTGACATATGAGGAAGCTTGCCCTAGAGCTTCTCCTTGGGGAAAGTTAATAATAGCCTCAGCTCCACAGCCTCCTCACCCCATGGTGACTTCGTTCTGCCCATCTTCATTAGGAACTGTGTCTTAGACATACTGAGAGGGGCTTGTCTGGGTCCCACAATTCCCAGACACAGCAGCTGTGACCATGCTTAAACCTGCGCTTTCTTTAGTGGTGGGCAAGGAGATTCTTAACACAACATAAAAGACTCATGTTCCCATTACTATGGAGGCCACTTGGATACTGAACTGACATGAACTGATTGGCCTGCTCTTTGATCACCCTCCTCCCCCCCGCCCCCAAGAGGGGAGCAGCCTTACCAAGCCACAAAAGAAGACAATACAGTCACTCCTGATGAGACCTGATACACTAGGATCAGAGGGAAGGGGAGGAGGACCTCCCTTATCAGTGGACTGGGAGAGGGACACGGGTGGGTAAGAGGGAGAATGGGATTGGAAGGAGAGGAGGAAGGGAGGTACAGGGGGGATACAAAGTGAACAAACTGAAATTAATAATAATAATAATAATAATAAATAAAAGACTCATGTTCCTGTCTCAGCTGCTTCCCTCTTAAGCACAGTTCAAGTGAGGCATGCCTGTCAAATGTCTGGCTGGGTTGTGAGCTGAGACTGTGTGTAACAGCAGCTTGCTCAGAGGTGGTGAGGGTTGAGTTGCTTTTTCTCCCTTTGCAACATAGAGGAGCAGTGACAAGGGTGGCTGGCCTGTTTGATGACCCGGTGTCAGACACTTAAGAATGCCCTGGTGGTCAGCAGTGGCACAGCTGGAGTTAGCAGACTGATGCTTTTCTTTTTCTACAAGGCCCCAGAGGCAGAAGCAGGCAGAATGGAAGCAACTTCTCTGATTCCTAGAGCCAGAAGGGGCCCCAGAACTGTGCCCACTACACTCCCAAGTTTGTCTGCACCTCCCCATCGGGGCCTCTGACCCAGGCTTCAGACCTGTATGTGTAATGCTGTCCACCTGCAGAGGCCTCTTGTTGAGTTTCAGATCACTAGAGCCATAAGCTCTGACCTCTGTTCATCTGTCAAATACTGAGAAGTGACTAGGTGGAGGGCACCATTTGTGTCAGCAGTGACTTATCAACAAGCAGTACCTGAGCTGCAGGGTCTTATCTTGTAACTCTCATGTTGGCACTTATGCGGTGAGGCTTAAGGGGAGTCAGAAGAGTGGTGGCCTCATCTGTCAAACGGAGATGGAAGCTCTTGCCTCCTGGCATGGTACAGTTCAAAGGTGGTTCTGGGCCTGCTCTGTTCTTCCCTTATCTCCTTCCATAAAGAGAAGAGCCAGACAACCTTGGCCTTGGGAAAAACTTCTGCAGTGGGTATTGGTGCAGGGTGTGGTGTGGCTTGAAGAATGTTCTTCACTATAAAACACCGTGTATGGGTGACTTGAGGACCTGAAGCAGAGCCCGCTGCACTGTGTCTGGCCCCTCTACTCTTCCCTACACTGTGTGCACCAAGGCCCTGTTTCTGTCTACTGTGCAGGGCCCCTGCTACTCTGGATTCCTGTGGGACACGGCAGCTGGAGTGGAGCTGAGAGACATCCCTGGACAGGAGGGCTCACCCAGCAATGGTCACAGGAAGGCTGTGGGTCCCAGCCCGTTCCTTGCAAGGTTCAAGGTACTCATTTCTTGTCTTCTCAGAAATCCAGTCCCTTCTGAAGGGGAAGTCTGTGTAACATGGTGACCCAGAGAAGCCATATCTTTCTCACTTGATTGTACTCTCTTAGAGTAGGGTTGGCACCCATGCTGGAAGATCCCTGGTAGGTGACCTTCTAAAGGGCAGGAGTAAAGGGATTTTTTTTTTTTTTGAGGGTATCTTAGACCCAGAAAAATATAATCCATGGAAAGAAGGAAGACAGTAACCTGGAAAGAATGGTGAGCTCTTGTCTCAGCAACAGAGACAAAGCATGATATACAGCAGAATTACCTTTCTTAAAATCAGGCCTTCTCCAAGCCTTGCCCATCTGACATAGGGCCCGTGTTCACTGGGCCCACCTGCCTAGTACTAGTTAGTGGGGTGTTCAAAATGGCCACATTTGGTAGAGACGCTCTAGGGAGCCCCTCCTCTTCAATGGCCTCTCAGGCCTCATTGTTTAGATATCAAGAAGAAGGGACCCCACCAAGAGCTTGTTGGATTGGAGGTGGGTTCCAGGAGGAGCTCTGAGCTAAAGGATCCCCATCACTGATATCTTTATATATATACTTTCCCATGAAGAAACCATGTCTCAGCCACATCTGGGAGCAGCTGCGTGCTGTATCTGAGTACCATCTTTCTTCTGTGGCCTCCGTGCTTCTGGGAAGTGTTCCTAAATAGCAAAGAGCTTTGATGCTGGACAACGCAAAGGAGAGGAAGCCGGAAGGTCACCATAGAGGATATGAACCTCATCCCTACTCAACTGTGAATTCTAAGTCAGGCAGCTTGATCCTTTGAGAGCACCGAGCAAGCCCATCCTCTATTGGGCATTGAGACTCTTTCTGTGTGCTCTAAAGCAGCAACTCTGGAGACCGTGTCCTACCCCTGAGTCCAGCATCATTTATTGCCAGTGGGAGGTGGGGCTTGGGGACAGCCTGTGTCATGGGATATATAAGCCCATGGCCCATCTCTTGCATTTGTCACTGCAGAGGTGATAGGGGTGGTGTATGCTCACACACAGATGGTGTCTGGTGTGGTATTTAATGGCTGTATTGATGAGGTTCTGTCTGCATTCCTGGCACCTGTGGTTCTGAACCATGAGTTGACCAGGAATGCCTTTAAAACCTGACACTACATTTAACTTTTAATGGTAAGTGATTTGCCTTGGCTCTGGCTTACTGGAACAGCAGCCACTACCAGCTCATGTAGCTAGAATGCAAGCTGGTATTTTTGTTGGTGCTATTACTACTTTTTGAGAAAGAGCCTCATGACGTGGCCTACATAGTAAACCTTCCAGTCCTACCCCTCAGCTTCCGGAGTGCAAGCAATCTAGAGCAGCTACCATGCCTCGCACCTTACAAAAACAACTTGTAAAACGCTGTCTTTAGCTAACATAAGAAGGCAAACTAGAGTTAATAGGCTAATAAAGAAAATGCTCACGATGGCTTCAAATCATTTGAAACCATCACCCAGCCCAGCCCTTGACTTCGTGTTCTTCAAGTCACATCAAGGCAAAGCTAATGTTCTGGGACACTGCTTATTCTTCCAGGCAGCATGTCCTAGTCCACATCTCAAGGTGTTTTTTTCTGGCCGTGACAGCAGCATCTGTAGAGCTCTCAGTGCTAGTAATGGCAAACTAGAGCCACACCTGCAAGACAAGACTGGCACTCTCCACTTTTTGGGGGGGCATCACACTCATTTTTTTTTTCTCAGAAGTGTTTAGTGTTTGTTGCCATGGCAATTGAAAAGGCAGAATTGCTAAACCTAGAACAGCTGAGCAATGTTCCGATAGCCCAAAAGATAAACTGCCCTTATATGTATGTACTTTAAGACTCTGAGAACCACTGTGGGGGCCCAGGCTCTGGGTATATCTTCTCCTGCCTTTGGTCGGTTGATAAGCTTTGGTTCTTACAGAGGAAATCAGGTTAAAGTAGATGTTATCACACAGTTGGTTCCAAAGAAACAAAGATGAATGGGTGGGGAACTTCAAGCTAGCCTTGTGGATAACAGCCTGAGTCTGTATGATCTAGATACTAGAGATACTTCCTTATTGCCTATGGTTTTACAAAAAGGTTTACAAAAAAATCCTACCACTTCCAGATATGTGAAAGTTTTCAGATCCAAGGGAGTAGATAGGAGGCTGGACTTTAGAGTAATGAAATCTAAAATAAATTACCTACAATGCCTCCTGTGCATGTGGGCTACCTTAGCTCCCATTTGCCATTGTCAACTGTGTATAGGAAACCATTTACAGACCAGTTGTAAAAGAAAGAAAAACCAATATTTAAGCCTTTTCCTTTTGCTTCATTTCCTACTACCCAGGTTGGTAGTAATGACTTGACCCTGGTTAACCTCCAGCTGACAGCCCTGGCCCTCCCAGGAGCTGAGAATTCAAGCAAGAATCACAGCGATGGCCACCGGTTGTTGAACTTTGCACTGACCCTACAGGAAACCCTGAAAGGTAGGGATCTCCATTTCTGGCAACACTTTTTCAGGGCAGGCAGTGGTGCCTCTTTCAACACATCTGTCTGACCTCTTAGATCAGCCTCTCACCAGCAGTCTTGGATGGACCCAGGGGCAATAACAGCCCTTGTTCTCATGGATCCTGGTTGACCTTTCTGCATGCCCCACCTTTGTGTTTGAGGGCCTCTTCAGCAGGTGTCACCATATCAGTGATGTGGTCTGTCAGCATCTCGTATGGAGAAAACTAGAGGAGCAAATAGTATTTCTCCCTGTGACAACACATCCTGAGTGAACTCCTCTGGTGGTGTCACATGCTGATCTGCACATGATCTTGTGAAAGAGGGACAGAAGGTGACAAGGTGAAGAATTGCAGGTGGAGACTTCAGAATCAATCCCATTTTCTTGAGTCTTGACTGTTTTTCTAGCTTCCTAGACTTCTTGTTATCAATTGTCCCATCATAGTGGGAGATTCAGTAAATGATTGGCTTCGGAAATGTTTCTGTCCAGCTATAACTTTATATTTTAAAAGCCTTTTATTGTAGTAAAATAGACATAAAATTTGCCGTTATGATGATTGGTAAGTATGCAATTCAGGGGCATTCAATATCTTCACACTGTTGTGCCATCTATCTTCAGAACACTGTCACCTTCCTTGTGAAACTCTCTACCAACTGAATCCTGGTACCTCTTGTTCCTTCTAGTGTCCAACAGCCACAATGCTATCTTTTGCATTTATGAATCTGATAACATGCTTCATTAAGGAGAATCACATGGTGTTTTTCCTCTTTGTCTGGCTTTTCTCACTTAGCTTACTATTTACCAGATTAGTTGTGTTGTATAATGTGTTAGATGCTCCATCCTTTTTGTGGCTGAATAATATTCTAATGTTTATATTGCCACATTTTATTGTGTGTCCATCCATCCATTGGTAGGCTCTTGTGTTGTTTCTACCTTTGTGCACTATGAATATGAATGCATAGGCTTAGGTTTTAAGTCAGGACCTGTTCTGACCAGCATTCTTCTTAAATGATGAATCTTCAGGCTGAAAAACAGTTGAGTGGGTTCAAACTCAGATATCCCATCCAACAAGTAGCTGTGTGGGAAACTTTTCACCCACAACTAATCTCTCACCTATTAGAAGAATGACTGGAGACAGTTTCATATCTGTGGACATTTCTATTCGTCTCCATTTCATAGATGACAGAAAAGAGAGATGCTGGTTCAAAATTTTTCTGATAGGCATAGGCAGATGCCATTCTCCCCCTGGTCTCCAGGGAGAGCTCAGGAGTCTATCAGAAAACTTCAGGCAGGTTCCACATTGCCAAGTCACTGCTGATTGACCCACAGCATGACTTGGCCTTGACACATCCAGGTAGGGACAGTGACTCATGCCCCCCATGCTCCTGCTTGTAACTAATGCCCAGTTAATTGTTAACTGGTGACCCAGGGAATATTCAGGAAATGCTCCAGCCTGCAGCAAAGGAAAATCGATGAGTACAGGGCTCTGCTCAAAGGAAGATAAAGCTTTCTTTTGGCCGAGAGGCAGAAATATCCGATTTGCAAACTCCAGGCCTTTCTGCCTTTGTCTGGAATGTTAATCCCAATTGGCAGCAGGGATCCAATGCTTGTCCTTTCACAGAACTTTCTTTCAACCTAAGAGGACTTGAGGACAGGGTCTCTCTCCCTCTGTAAGCCCAGTAAGTGTGAAGTAGAGTGAGCTGCCCTTGGCATCTGGTAGGAAGGTTCTCAGGGAGTAGTGCGCCTCAGTGGAGACCCATTTCAGTGGTTGTTATTGGCCCTTTTCAAATCAAGAGAATCTCTTGATATATTGGTCCAGAACTTTCTTCTGTCACTCTAGAGAGCCCACAAAGAGAATTTGGGCCACACATTCTCAAGGGCAAAGCTGCTGCCATGTCACCCCTGACCTGACACATTTAGCTGGAAGAACGAGTTGTGAGAAAGCTGGATATGCCCATTCAAAAGGAGCCTTTGTTTTCATTTGTGAAGCTATACAGGACTGATTGACCCCTGACCCTAGCCTCCCTCCTGCTGGCTGACTTCCCATCAGGACTCAGGTCTGCACCTCGCTGAAAGCCTTCCTCGTTTCTATGGCAGTTGTCTGCCTCTGTCCCCCAGAACTTCAGGTTTTCCTGGTCAGTACACATGCTAGCTTTTGCATTCATTCAGAGATCTTCCTTCTACCAGCACTAATTAATTGCATGCTTGTAGTTCCTGACCCAACCTTTCTATGTGTCAGGGCAGACAGCAGCCCACGTCTTAGGTGTCTTCCTGCCTCGCTCTTTGTGAAGAACTCTGGCTTTGAGGGCCACTTCCATGACTTTGGGCAAAGTATGCAGTTTTCAGAGTCTGACATGCTGTCCAAGAAATAGTCAGTACAGTGCCTGATAAGGGCTCTGTGACTGGTCGTTGACCCAGGTCATGAGCCCTGGGTTCTGTTCAGTAACACTCTCATGTTGGTTTTCCTGGGAGAAACCAGCACTGATTTCCCCCAAACAGGGGGGAATTGCCCCGGTTTGTAGCCTGTGGATATATGATGTAGATGTTAGGAAGTGTAGCAGCTGGAAAGGCTTCTTTTTGGTCCTCCTGGAGGAATGTGTCATTTGTAGCACACAAGTGCCCCCTGCTGGCCTCTTGTGTCCTTTCACTTTAGATTTCCCTTTAGCTATTATTAATACTCATACCAAGAAAAAGAAATTTGCTGAAGGCCTTTTGTATGCTATTTTGTTTATGAGCTGCTTTCTCTAAAGTGCCTTTCATAGAGAGAAACAGAAACCTCATTACCTAGGTCTGTGGCTTTCCTGCAGTGAATTCCTTACAAGGGTCAGCCCTGTTCATGGGAATCTAGTAGAGGCTGGCTGGGGGCCATTGTTTTTTTTCGAATTCCTATTCACAGTAGTTGGGAAACACTTCATAACTATTCCATTTCCTGCAGGCTGTGAGAGAAATGTCTAAAATACTTCAAAGGGACAACCTTTCCACTTGGCCCCTGCCCTCTCTTTGTAGGCCTTACTTACACACAAGGAAGTGAGTTCTGCTGCTGTGTCTCTGGCAGACTGTTGCTAATGTGGCTCAGGAGAGAAAGGAGGTGGCCTATACTGCTCAGGAGATCCTGTGCCAGGCATTTACAGGAATACTGGGCTCTTATACTTCTGTCAACAACTATCAGGAAATGGATTGTCCTCTTCTATTTCAGTGGACCAAGCCTTGCCTAAGGCCACCAAGTTGAGAGGTGACAATGCCCAGAGTCATCCACCTATATTCTCCGAGCATGGGCACAGTTCATAGAAATTCTGCTCTGTGCAGTTGACTCTGTGTGAGCCCTTTTCCCTCTATCTGTTGCTGAGACAGGGGGTTGCATGTTCAAGGCCTACCTGGATTACCCAGTGATCAAGGCCAGCCTGGGCAATTTAGGAATGTTTTGTCTCAAAGTAATAAGTAAAGAGAGAGATGGTTAGAGAGAGTCCTTATCTATCCTGCACTGTGTTCAATCTCCTGTTTGTAAATATGGAAGAGAGAGAGAATGAAACTGTGGTATATGCTTATAAACCCCCCTGTGAATGATCATGAATTCCAGGTCATAATGAACTACAGGAGGACCCTACCTCAAAAACAAACAAACAAACAAAAAGAAAAAAAAAAAAAGAGAGAATCAAAATCATAAATGTTGACTGAACATTTCTTTGACACTGTTGTCACTGCAGGGAAGGTTTAAAAAGGCCCTTTATGTATCAGAGGATCACCATTTTTTTTTTCACATATAAAGAGCTTCTGTAATCGGTTAATGAATCGGTTAATACACTGAGGAAAGAGGAGTCTGAGCAGCACCCAGCTCATGGTTGGGCGATGATAGGGTTTCATGGTGAAGTGGCTAATTCTCAGGCTGGGCCAGAAACAATAAAGGTAAACCTGAAGTGTTTTGGCAGGTCACTAAGAATGAAAGCATTCAGACCAAAAAACCAGAAGACAACAAGGGGTTAAAAAAAAACCCAAATGCTCCTTAGTGGAAAACTGAAGTAGCAAAGTAAATAGCACAGTAGTGAATTATAACCCAGGGTTAAAATAGATAACCAGGAGTTCGTTCACACTTACATAAACGAATGCTTGAATGAATTAATAAATTCTTGTACAGAATTCTAAGTAATTTGCATAGGTGCTCCATCCTCAAGGCCAGGGAGCACATCTTCTTTGTCTCTGCATAGGAAGGAGACACAGCAAATCGCTTGGCTGAGGATGCTCGCTGTTGGTTTCAGTGCAGCAAGGAATTCCTTGCATTGCTAGCTTGACGCAGGAACCACAGCCTCTGGTAAAGAGGCCAGCATAGCCTATCCAGAATAGGAACAATGACCAGACTTTTAACTGGTCCTCTGTTCTACAAACAGAAAGCAGGGAAACAGATGCTTGAGCAAATGTCTCACTTCAGCATTACTTACAGCTGTAAATTTTGGAGGAAATCTAAGAAATTAGCTATTCCAAGAGGATAGTGAACTATGTAATGGGTGCTCTGAGTTGCTCACTGAGTGATGGGAAGACACCAGTCTTTCTTCTGGTTCATTGCTCTGACCTGATCCCCAGGCAAAGAGAGAATGCCTGCCAGCCAGAGAGGAGCTGGCGCTTGCCTCTCGTGCATGAAAGCTAGAACCCAACTAACGGGAGCTGGTTTTCTCCTTCCACAATGTGACTTTTGGGTCCTGAACTCAGGCCACTAGGCTTGACAGCAGCCCACACCTGACTTCTTAATCTTCAGTCTGGAAGCCTCTGGGTGCTCCAAGTTCCATCACACGGCCTGCTTCATTGCTTCCTGTTCCCTAATGAGTGCTTGTCATCCTTATGGTCCTGACAGCTCCTATGGATCCTCTAAGACCAAAGAGACATGTCACCTCTCGGGAGCCTCCCCTGGCTACCCTCCTTGTTCTACATGACCGCAGTACTGTTTCTGGCTTTATATCTACACTCTGCTCCTGGCAACATCCCGCCCCCTACCTCACCATTAGACTCTAAAGTCCTAGAGAGCAGGGATTGCGTTTTATTCATCCCTGACTCCCACACAGGCAGGTCCTCAGGAGGTGCTCTGTAAAGGTTTGGTGAACTTTTTTTTCCCTTTTTAAAAAAAATTTACTTATTTTTTATATTAATCACAGGTTATTTACTTTGTATCCCAGCCGTAGCCCCCTCTCTCATTCCCTCCCAATCCCACCCTCCCTCCCTCATCTTCTCCCTGCCCCTTTCCTAGTCCACTAATAGGGGAGGTCCTCCTCCCCTTCCATCTGACCCTGTTTTATCAGGTATCTTCAGGACTGGCTGCAATGTCCTCTTCTGTTAGATATCTGAAGAAGGCCTCTTTTTCTTTTCCCACTGTAAGTTTAGGGCCAGAGAAACTGAATGGAGGGTTTCTGTCTCGCACTATCCCTCATTTCCAAGTTAACCTATGTTTAAAGTCAGTGGGTACATAAGAAATACCAGGAAAACAAGAACTATGCCTGTGGCCCTAACCCTGACTGATTAAACCAGACAACAGTCCCTTCCAAGGGTTGTGTTTGGTTTTGCTTTCCACCTGCTCTTACTGATTTTGTTTGCTTGTTTTTAATTCCCAGGAGAAAAAGATGTTGTTATTTTAGGCGATTTTGGCCAAGGGCCAGATAGCAGTGACTATGATATCCTAAGGAGAGAAAAGTTTCACCACCTGGTCCCGGCTCACACCTTCACCAACATTAGTACCAGGAATCCTCAAGGATCGAAATCTGTGGACAACATCTGGATCAGCAAAAGCCTAAAGAAAGTGTTCACAGGTAGGGACGCCTACCCCTGCTGTCTCTGTTCAGTAGTGGGCAGAGGGCCTGAAAACGCCTGAGGTGACCAGTGCTGGTTATCTTCCCTCCTCTGCATATACTTACAGGGTTATGACAAAAGAAAGACCGTGTCATTGCTGGGTCAGAGACACGGCTAAGAGAGAAGGGCATGTGACCCGTAATTTAAAGGTAGCCACCAGTCCTTATAAGCGTTTCATATGCAAACCCAGTTGAAATCACCTCTGTGGATCATCAGGGTCATGACTGAGAGATGAACTGGTAACTCACTCGAAACTATCGGGACACTTAGTCATTCAATGAACATTTGTCAGATATTCAAATGCTGTGCTGTGCTGTGCTGTGCTGTGGAATGAGGTACAATCATGCACTTCCACAGGTGAGGAGACATGTCGCTGTTAGTGTTTCTGTCACTGTGACAAAGATTCCCAAGATAAACCTATAAGGAAGAAAGATTTACTTTTGACTCATAGCCTGAAAGGCTTCAGTCCAGGGTCCCTTGGCATGGCTGCTTTTAGACATTGGTGAGATAGTACATTGTGGTAGAAATATGTGGCACCTGTGGGAGGCACCTGTGTCAGAGCCATTCTTTCATCTTGCCCATCCCCCAACACACCCCTTAAAGCAGCCAGGAAGAAGAAGGATCCAAAGAGTGCCTGCAGTCTCAGTGTCCCTGAAAGGACATGGACCCAATGACTTAAATTTCCCTACCTCCTCAACCTTCCACCACCTCCCAGCAGTAAACATTGGCTGGGGACCAGGCCTACAACACATGAGCTTTTAGGGAACCTTTAGGAACCAAATCATGACACATAATATCACAGCAGGATGAGAGAAGTCCTCAGAGCTCCACAACGAACAAAGCATGGTGGATACTCCACCCATCCTCGGACTGTGAACCACAGAAGCTGAGGTACAAGGACAAGCTCCCCCGCCCCAATTCTCAGCTATGCTGCCCAGGGTCAGCTCTAGAATTCAGACTCTTCATATCTGACATTAACCATGACAGATCACAGAAGGGTGTGGCAGTGCCCTGTTTTAGAATTATGTGTTGTTCTCATATATAATTCCCATTTATCTGTCTGCACTTCAAAGGTATCATTATTTTTCTCAATAACCAATATGTTTCCTTTTTTTTCATTCTTTCTGTTAGTTGCCTGCTAACCCTTCTGTAGTGATTTTTGCTTTGTGAAGCAAGTCTTTCAGACTCTTTGTCAAATACTCATTTGTTGTTAGAGGTTTAATCCCTAGCACTCTAAAACATTAATTAATTTAAAATGCTAATTGGATTCAGTAGGTTATAATAAAAAGGAAGGCATGAAGTTGGGAGAGGGATGTATGGGGGTCGGGAGAGTTAAAGAATGGGATGGACATGAACAAAAAATATTGTATGCATGCGTAAAAATTTTAAGAGTAAGTTAAAATATTCACAAAGGAATGGTAAAAGTATCACTTGTTTTTAGTTTTGTTGGTCACATTAGGAACACCATATGAATAAGGAGCAGGTCCTCTTGCATACTGTTTAGCAAGATAAGAGGCCTGGCCTCTGGGTGCCTTCAATGTCTATGCAAGTAAACTGCTGTCATTTATATTATATGAAAAATTTAAAAATATACACAGTTGGCCCTGAGTTTTTGTTTATGCAGACCAACTTACTGGAGGAAGGCTGTCAGGGCCCCTTGACTTAGTGTTGACCACCTTAGTCCTAATTCTTGCTCTCTTCTCTCTCTTTAGGCCACTGGGCTGTTGTGAGAGAAGGTCTTACAAACCCTTGGATCCCAGATAACTGGTCCTGGGGTGGAGTTGCTTCTGAACACTGTCCTGTGCTTGCTGAGTTGTACATGGAAAAGGACTGGAGCAAGAAGGAGGTCCCCAGGAATGGCAGTGGAGTCACCTTAGAGCGAAGTGAAGCCAACATTAAGCATGAGCGATGATGACATCACTGTTTCCACCCTCTGACTCAGGAGGGCATAGGAAGGAGCAGGCACTACAGAGCGAGAAGACCCAGGGCCTTTGAATCATCATTTTGAGGACCTGAGTCTCGGCCCCTGGACCACTGCCTACTTTGTGAACACTTTAGAACCTCTCCTGAGAAGAGCCTGTCAGGCTCTGGCTATGTTGGGCATCACGACGAAGCTGGCTGGAACTGCAACGTCTTGACCCTGGGTAGCTGAGTTCAGGCTTGGGGTGGGGGCTGTGCCGCTGGCTGCATTGTGTGGCAGCATGAGAATAGCAACAGAGGTAAAGCAGAGATGGGGGAGATGGCTCAGGCTGACAAGCATTGCCATGGCTCTCTTTCTGTCTCACCAGGATGTGATGTTCTTGCCAACAAATTCCAGGAAGCCTTTTTGTTGTTGTTGTTTTTTGAATTTGAAATTAAACTTTAGTCTTTTCAGAGTAATGTGATTTAGAAATAGGGGTTAAAAGACAATACAAAAGAGAGAAATCAGACAAAGACAAGGACAGACAGACAGAAGAAAGCTGGTGATAGGCTTTGGTTAGATCTCCATCTTAGAGATGAGATCATCACAGATCCTGGACAGCTCATCATTTTCTTTAGTCTTCTGCTCCACAGTTTTTTCCAGTGAGTGGATCTGCATCTGTGCCTTTGTCAGGCTTGCCTGGAAAGCCAGTGCCTCTGCTTGGGTCTTCCTGCATACTTAGGCGATCTCCTCATTTGCGAGCTTGAGCTTTTCTTCTGCATGGGCTTTCAGCGCCTGATACCTCTGGCCTTCCTTTCCAGTTTTCACTATATATTCCTCAACATGCTTCTTCAATGACTCTTCATTCTTGCGGTAGCCTTCAATCACTTCCTTTTGCTTCTCAAAGCGCTTGAAAAGGTCGGAGGATTTCCCCATAGAGCTCAGGTCTGCAGTGAGCTCATCTCTCTCCTTTAGGACCTTGTGGATTGTGTTTTCACCCAGTTCCTTCTGTTTCTCCGCCTCCTCCATTGACTTGTACACAGTCTTCTCAAACTCCAGGAAGCTTTTAACTGTGATGAATATAATTCTCAAACGGTTTTAGTTTTGTTTTGAAAAACTAAAAAATAAACAGATTAATCTGCCTGGCTGCAGTCAGGGTGTTGGGTGGGTTGCCTTGCTCTCTCACCTTAGTCAGTTCCTGTCTGTGGGCCATGCCACCCACTGCCAAATGCCTTTTCCTAATGTACCCTACCCTATAAAGGCACCTCTCACATGCCTAATTATCTGGATTATCTCGTCCCTTCCATTTTCTCCTTCATCTATACCTTGTCAAGTTTTCTCCTTGGAGGACCACTTAGCGTCTGGACTTTAGTGTAGGACATGGTTTCTATACTCATTTCCTTCCACTTTCCCCACAAACTCTATTCTTAGATTAGAACCTTCCTTGGCTGATTCTGAGGCATACATGGTCTTTGTGTCAGCAGACCACTTACAAATCCAGACAACCACAGATGAAAACATAATTTTTAAATTGTGTCTGAGCTTAACAAATACAGTTCTTGTCATTATCCCTAAAATAATATGGCATAACAGCTATTTTATAAGACTTATATGTGTTGGGTGTCATCATATCATGTAGATGGTTTAATCTGTGTGAGAAGGTGTGTGCAGGCTACATGCAAATACTATACCATTTTGGGTAAGGGACTTGAAGATACATGGACTTTGGGTTTCAGAAGGAAGGGTCTGGGGACCAGTTTCCTATGGATGCTAAGGAATGATTGATGATTCAGGGTATGCAGGAGGCTAAACCTGGGTGTATCACTGAGGTGGTAGCTGTGAGTGTGTGTGTGTGTGTGTGTGTGTGTGTGTGTGTGTGTGTGTGTTGGGGGGTGTTTGTGGGAGAGCTTGGAAGGCAAGCAAGAACAAGCTGACTTCTCTGAGGCCCCTTTCTCTGAGCCTGAGTCAGGTTTGGTTTATCTTTAGGCACATCATTCTACTATTACAGTGACTCTAGGGTTATGCTGCCCATTTCACAGTTCCTGATAGTCACCCAACCAAGGAATAAAGTGTTCAAACAAGGATTCTCTGAATCTAAAACCCACTCATAGTGTCAACTCCATGCTTATCATGTATGAAGCATTATAAAAATAAAGCTTAAATCTTAGTCTCCCATTCTCTAGGTCATTCCAGTCTTCTGTGGAAGCTAACAGTTTATTATTCTTTCCACACAAAGTACAGAGTGGCCCAAGATGGAGAGCCTGCCACTTTCGCCAAGCAGTTGTGTCTTCAACCCTATTGTGTCAACTCTTTTTTGGAGAGATGTAAACAAACGTGTGCTCACCAACAGCATACCAAAGTATGGTTCTACCCAAGTCTAGCATGGTGAGCCAATGGCTTTAATTGTCTTAATAAAGTAGCATGGGAAACTGAAGAAGAGCTCCTTTCTAGCCACCATTAACCTCTGTCTTTGGGAGGGGTGGAGCCTCCTGTGGTTTTCATAGGTTTGGAATCATACAGAAAAAAAAAATACTTTCAGAGTAACTTTTCTATTTTTTCATTAATTAATTTATTTGTTGATTTTACATACCAATCAAAACTCTATTCTCTTCTTTCCTCCTAGTCCTACCCTCCCCCCCACTTCCTTCATACCCCTTCTCCCTCAACCCCCACTTCCCCCAAGTACCAACCCAACTGGGTGCATCAAGTCAAATCAGGACTAAGTGCCTCCTCTTTCACTGAGGCAAGACAAGGCAGCTCTACTATGGAAACGGGATCCAGAGGGAGGCAACAGAGTCCAAGTCAGAGAGAGCACTCCCCTCCAATTGTTAGGGGACCCACTTGAGGACCTAACAGCCTATGTGTAGCGTCATGTGTAGGAGGCTGAGGTCCAGTCCATGCATGCTTTTTGGTTGGTGGTTCAATCTTTATAAGCCCCCATGGGCCCAGTTTAGTTGGCTATGTAGGTTTTCTTGTGGTGGCCTTGACCCCTCCAGTTTTCTCAATAGTTCCCCTAGTCTTCCACAAGACTCTTGAGTTCCTCCTAATGTTTGGCTATGGGTCTCTGCATCTGTTTCCATCATCTGCTGGATGAAGCCTCTCAGATGACAGTTATGCTGCTAGGTTCCTGTCTGCAAGGATAGCAGAGTATCACTAATAGTGTTAGAAGTTGGCCCTCTCCGATGGGTTGAGTCTCAAGTTGGGTCAGTCATTGGTTGGGGATTCCCTCTTAATAAACAAACAAACAACAACAAAACCCAAACTGGCCACATCCCATAGCCATGCAGGACTGCAAGTGGAGGGAGGAGAACACCAACCCACCCACAAAACTATGGCCCAAAATTTGTCCTGCCTACAAAATGTACAGGGATAAAAGATGGAACAGAGTAACTTTTTCATGCAGTCAATGTATTTGAGATTATTTTTTATGATGTGGGATTCTCTCTCTCTCTCTCTCTCTCCTTTTTCTCTACCCCTCTCCTTATTCTTCTCCCTCTATTGTTGAAATATATCTCCCAGTATAGAGTTGATCTGATTTTCCTTGCATTGACTTCTTCTGAGCCTTGCCCTCTCTCCTGCTCTCTCACATTTTTAATCCCAGCACTTGGGAGACAGAGGCAGAGTTTGAAGCCACTTTGTACTACAAAGTGAGTTCCAGGACAGCCAGGGCTACACAGAGAAACTCTGTCTCTAAAAGCAAGCAAAAAAACAATAAAAACTGAGAAAGAATGACCCTAAGGACAACCAGATGCCCTTCTGGCCCATGTGCTGGGTTCCCTCACTGCTGCTCTAGGGACATAAAGGAAAGCAAAAGCCACCCAAGCCCTTCAGACAGACACTTCTTTGAGCTTCTTTGGTTTGGGCCTGTGCATGGATGAGGTAGGAGGGAAAGACAGAATATTACTCAGTCATAGGCAAGAAAAGGAACCCCTTACTCTGGAGTCTCACCAGTCTCTTGCTAACTGAGAATCAAGGCTTCCTGTACAAATAATACTTGCTATGAAGGTTGCCAACATAGAAGAAATATTTTTAATGAAAATGTTAACATAGCAACAAGTCAATTTCAAGACATGACTGTGTATGACCTTGGGTAAGGCCCCAACTCTCTTAAGTATTTTCTGGGAATCTCAGCAAAACTACTAATTTTTTTTTCCTTTTTCAAAACAATGAAAATGTCCTAACTGCCCATCTTTTACCCATAAGTCTCCTACCATGAATGAAGACATTCTAAGGAGATGTTTGTGCCTTTTTGATTTTTTGTTTGTTTGTTTGTTTTTTTACTACTAGAACAATGGTCTTCTCAAAATTAGGAACTTCACAGGGATCTCATCCTAGGAGGAGGAGGAAGAAGTCGAAGCCTGGTGCCAGCCAGATGGGGAGATTTTCTTCTGGGAAGAGCTTTACAACATGTCATACCAACTTGCAGAAGCTGGAGTTGAGATAATAAGAGCCACCCCTACCTGGGACAGCTTACTTATGAATACCCCTCCCCGCTACTTATGCCTTATGTTAGGATCTTGAACATGGACTTGGGGTAGGGAAGGTTACTAGACTTTTTTTTTTGTCCCTTTTTCCAGTGTTGCCAAATTAAATTATCTCCTTTTCCTTCCTCTTGCTCTTACTTTGTCTATTGAGGGCAGTTGCCAAGCCTAGGTGATTAGGACTTCTGGCTCTGACCCTAACAACGGCAGTAACCATTTTGTTGAGCCAACCAGGAGTTGAACCCACATATCCCAACAACTTGGGTAAAGCTAAAATTTTACCTATTAATTTAATATTGTCAGCCGCACCCTAGGAGCCACCCGTGATCTCATTTGAATTGCTTAGCAGCACAATAAACTGTAAAAATTATCCACATCCTAGGTATGATATGACGAAGTGCAAATCCCTGGGAGATGCCCTCACCCATACTCCTGGGTGTGTCATTTTTTTCCCCGACATCGAGTGCAGCTCTTGCTATCAGCTTCTGTTCATAATACATCCAATAAACTCCAACTATGCCTTCTACTTGCTTTGCTTGAAATGCTTTTCTTGGTGAAACCAAGGATCTGCCTTTACCTGAGTGGCACTTCCTAAAAGATAATGGGACTGGGCTTTGCAACCAGAACCCTGAAGGGATGCAGAGACATGAACATTAGATGTGGCTCAGCCTAAGAGTGCCTCCTCTGAACCAGACCAGCATCTTGATCCCATGGAAGGACCACTCATCACAGGGGTGCTCTCAGGTGTGACACGATTCTGAGAGCCAGGGTAGGAAAGCTGAGAGATAGGGACTGAACTAAGCAACCAGGTCAGTCTGTTTTCATATACACATCCCTGCCCGTCTAGTCATCATTTATTTCCCTCCAGTGTAAATTTAGCAGTCTAGTTGGGCCCTGCTCTGTTCTTGTTCTAATGTTGTTGTTGTTACTCTTTTTCATTTTCTCACCCAAAGAACATAGACTGGTCTGGTTTACAGGTTCTCTGTGGCTCAGACACTTCAGAGAGGAAATGCTTTATGTTATCTGATGACATTTTTTATTTCTTATTTTCAGTCTACCTTTAACCCAAACCCTCTACTTCTGCAATTCTCCTTTCTCTTCTATTCTAGTTCTCTACTTTCTACCAACACAACATTAATCACCAGTCTCACACTCTGTTTCTTTCTTTGTGTTTCCAAACATAGTGACTAATATGCTGGTTACAATCCCTGTCTTGTTGCTCTTTAAAGTAATTGCTGCTTCAGCAAAAACAGTGTTTTGTGGACTCTTATATTGTTTTCACAGTCAGCCTGATCCTTGGTAGTTATAGCTGTTACAGAGGGTCTCTATTCTCAGGGGAGTAGAGCTTGTTACCCTGAACTCAAGTCTAACGGAAGGAAAGAACACCTCAACCTTACTTCACCTTGGTTCTTTTGGTTTGGAGCAAACCAAACCATTCCCAGAAAGAAGAGTAGTGATTTAAGTAAAATCAAACAAGTAAGCAAACACAACAACAGCAGTAACAACAACAAATAAAACAACAAAAACTCCTCCAATCAATGGCTTAAGTTCAGATATACAAACCCCAGTGGAAAGTGCAAAAGCATGAAAAATCAGTATGTCTTCTTCAAATATTGGCATATCCACAGTAATGGCTATCAGTGAGAGTGACATAGGAGAGACAAAAGAGTTCAAATGATAAATGATCATAACTGTGTCCAAGGAAATCACAGGAGATGCAAATAAAGTCTTCAATAACTTTCAAGAGAACACAGAGCTGAATGAAATAAGGAAGTCAGTATAGGATAAGAAATTAGAATTCAATAAAGAGAAAGAAACACTGAAAAAAACTAAATCGAAAAGCTGAAGGTGAAAAATTCAATAAGTCAAATAAAACAGTTAGTGGGAAGTAGAGGGATTGTAACATTCAACCAAGGACAAAGATAAATGGATAAAATGTACAAGCAGAATACATAAGACTTTTGGCACACTGTAAAGAAAAACAAATGTATGACATATTGGCCAAGTAGGAAGAGGAGGAGAAGAGGAAAAAGAAGAGGAAGAGGAGAAGAATTCTATACTAAAAGCTTAGAGTACCAGAAAAAAATTCAAATCCAAGGAAAGATTTTGGAATCCAGATACAAGTATATAGCACACAAAATAGCAACTAAAAAAAGAAAAAAAAAGTAGGAAAGCCTTTGTATCATCATTAAAAACATTAAGTATACAGAACAGAGAAGGTGAAATGAAAACTGAGAGAGCCAACACATAGAAAGGCAGGTCTACCAGAATAATGGGTAGTTTTCAGCAGAAACTTCAGAAGCCAGAAACGTGCTGGTGTGTGCCTTTAATCCCAGCTCAGAAGACAAAGTGGATCTCCAAGAGTCCCAGGACAGCCTAATTTACATATGGAATTCCAGACCAAGCAGGGCTAGATAATGAGACCTTGTCTTAATTAACTAATTAAAATAAAAAAAAATCAGATGTGCTTGGGAACAGTATACTTCAAGTTCAAGATGGAAACCCAGACTACTGTACCCAGCAAAATAGTCATGATGGAAGAAAAAAGAAAAACTTCCATGGTAAAGATAGATAAGGGATTTGTAATCCCTCCAGTAGCCCCCCAGAAGATACTAGAAGGAATTTTTCATACTAAAGAAAAAGATAAACACACCAAACAGGCTGTAGGATACAATAACTCAGTAGA